CGCGTCGGGCTCTGTGCTGACAGCTCGGAGCCTGGAGCCTGTTTCGGATTCTGTGTCTCCCTCTCTCTCTGCCCCTCCCATGTTCATGTTCTGTCTCTCTCTGTCTCAAGAATAAATAAATGTTAAAAAAATAAATAAATAAATAAAAATAAAAGTGATACCTGATTAATATTTAAGAAACCATGTTAGATTAATAGAGACCACAGAAGCATTGAGTTAGCATTTTAATTTTTTCTTTGGTGGAGAAGACACTCATTTTTAATCATACCCTTAAAAATCACTCAATTTTTTTTGCCCTAAATGAAAATTTCTATGTGATAGATTTTCTTGAACAGGGTTTCCTTGCATAGCATGAAATTTGGATACAGACAGTAAAAGAATCATGAAACCAGTGTGCCTCAGTTTGCATGCAAAGTATTTTTTGCAATAAAAATTAGAATAAATTAAAATATCTTGAAAGCAGCGTAAGGGAATTTGGTGTTAAGCCATTTGTTAGTGATGGCGAATGATTATCTTTTTTTCCTTTTAAGTTTATTTATTTATTGAGAGAGAGAGAGCGAGAGTACTGGGGGAGGGGCAGGGGGGGAGAGAGAGAGAATCCCAAGCAGGCTCCAGGCTATTAACACAGAGCCCAACCCTGACTGGATCATGACCTGAGCCGAAATCAGGAGTTGGATGCTCAACCAACTGAGCCACCCAGGTGCCCCATAATTATCTTTTTTAAAAAATACCTTTCTTAATATTGAGTCCTTATATGGTATGTAATTGACTTAATTTGGTTCCATTTAGTCCAAACATCAATAGAATACGGTTATTTGTAATTCTCAGAGATCCTTTTGAGACACTGTAAGGTGGGTCAGATTAACTTAAGCAGGTTGCAAAATTCTAAGAGCAACATTAATTTTTAGCAATGTTTAACTTTTAAACTCCATGCTGTGCAAGGTTCTAGGCTAGTCTACACTGAACACCAGGAACAAGGCTCTGTAATTGTTGGAAATTGCTTGTGTTTTCCCCCCTTGAAATGAGTCTGCAGTAATTCAGGAGCTTTCCCTGCCTGCTGTGTGTGTTTTTTGTCTGAGCTGGGTGCTGAGTCCTTTTTGTTCTTCAAAACAAAAGCAGGTGGTGTAGCTGTTGAGAATTTAAAAGGAGACCAAAAACACTTGACATAAAAACATCTTAAAGATTAATTAGTAATAACACTTCTGAAGATAAAAGTACTAAGCGAGGGATAAGTATAATAAAGTGAAAACATTCCTTACCTCCTCCATTCCACTAATTTGGTGGCTGGCTGCATGTGTTTGGTGTTCAGGGAAACCCACCTGTAAACCGCCTATTAAAAAGAGGTGTGTAGTGTGGGTGCTGTGACAACGTGGAGGGTCTCCTCCTGTCCCCTGGAGCAGGGAGGGAGGTTGAAGAAGCTTTCCCAACAACGGAATGCTCAGGTGAGGCGTTCTGGCCAAGGGGACCACCACAGGTGGAGCTGCTTTAGGGAGGGTGGAAGCTGCAAGTGGTGGGCGGGGCTTGGGGGGGTGGGCATGGAGGTCTGATTGGTGAGGAGGGGAGATGGGGTTCATGAAGCTCCAGGGGGTGAACTGGGAAGTGCAGGCGGTTTTTCCAAGTGCAGGGAGCCCATGGAAGAAGTCTGAGCCACAAGAATAGGTTTGGGCATTAGCCATGATGGCCATTATTATCCCTTCATTAAGGGTGGCAACGATGTGGTCATGAGCATTATTCCTCAGGACAGATCCCAGGGTCCTCACCTGCCACCCAGGGGAGGAGTGTTTATACAGGACCAGTAGGGAAGGGGAGAGCCCTCAGAGCCCTGGTGTCTGTAGTTCAAGTAGGGAGAACATGTCTAGGAGAGGGGGCAGCCTTATGTGCTCTGAGGTAGTCTAAGGATGATGGAAGGATTGAGAAATGTCTCTGAGACATTTTAAACCCACTCAAGAAAAGGTTAAAAAGAAACCGAATAAACTAGTAACCATGGAATGATTTGAAAAGGCTGTCAAAGGCGTTATCTATCCTGAAGGCATCTTAAGTTATGGATAATTAACTTCCCCCCTCCTGAGGGTCCACAGCCAGAGAGGGACTGCTTCCTGGCATATTCTGACAAGCAGCAGAATCCTAAAGCCAAAATGAGACGATGTGTTTATTTGAGATACATAGTGGAGAACAGGATCCATGGGGTTTGGCAACTGCTGGTTGGTCCACAATGCTGGGTGTCCAAGCTGACCACTGACCCGGATGTTCCTGGGTCTTCTGGGTGGGGGCCACCTCATGGTAGTGGGGGGGGGCACATGAAAGGGGGGCACATGGTGTGGGGGGCAAAGAGTTCAGCAAAGGTTTGGAAATCTTTTCCCTCCTTTTTTAGAAAACAAGGTAGGAAGGAACATAGATGCATGGAAAAATAAACGATTATGTCACCATTTGAACAATATTTTGGCATCTTCGGACCGTCTATTCTACGTGGTTCTTAGTAGTGGAAGTCATACTGCATGTGTATTTTCTCATCTGAAATGGTCATAATTGCATTACCATGTTACAATGTATTTTCATAGTTTTATTTTTAATTGAGATATAATTGACATGTAACAGTATTATTTAGTAACATAACAATATATAATGTGTTAGTACATATTACATAATATGTATTTATATATATACTATATATAAATACACTATATACACTATATATATACTATATATAAATACCCATAATATATAATATATGTTATGTAACTCTGGTTACCATCCATTACATCACATACTTACACTGTGTGTATAAGAACTTTGAAGATTCACTCTTAGCAACTTTCACTTATGCAATGTTATATTATTAACTGTAGTCACCATGCTCTAAATGACATCCCCCGGACTTTTTTATTTTGACTACCTTCACCCATTTCACCAATACCTACATGTTCACCTCTGGCAACTGGTAATGTATTCTCTGTATCTATCAACTTTGGTTTCTTGTTTTGTTCTAACATTCCACGTATAAGTGAGATCATGCGGTGTTTGTCTTTGACTTATTTCACTTAGCATAATGCCCTCAGAGTCCATCCATGTTACCTCAAGTGACAGGATTTCCTTTTTTTTTTTTTTTTTTTTTTTTTTT